ATTAAAATTTACCCAAGCCTAATAACGAAGCATGTAATTTTGCCACATAGGATTTCGAAGCACCAGAAGCAGGTAGGGTCAGCGCGTTGTGGATTAATATATAGAGGGAGAGGGATGTTGTTTGTTGTTGATTATGTATTGACGATGAGTTAGTGTCATTGGTTGACGGTTACTTTGAAATTATTCATAAGACTAATTTAGATTATTCTTTACCATCATTGCACAAAGTGTGAATTGTATTTCTCTTTATGGACAAATTCATCTCTATATAACAGGCAATTTAGGTGTGCCTTGTACTTATGTTGTCGAAGTTAATCGGATACCAACTATAGACAAGTAGTACTTTACATACAAAATTTGAAATCTAGATATTTTAATTCGGGGGCCAATACATATTTGTAATGTGTAATAAAATTTTGTCCTCCTGTCTAAGGTGGTATAGAGCTACTATGGTCACCAACTGATGTGACAGAAGATTAACATATATACACGGTGAGTATGACACTAAATATATGAAATTTTGACACGTGGCTCGTGACACATCTTAATATGCTAATAATTGGTAGGTAAATATTTTCACATCAGTATAATATTTATCAGTATGAAAAAATGCAGTATTGATTACACTCTTTGTCTGATGGTGTTATTAAAATTCTATTGATATTCTGGGGAGACATATTAAAATTGTGCTAATATTAAAAACCCGTAATTATAGATGTACGTTCATTCAAATGCGGAAGCAAGGTTCTACAAAATATGGACGTTCAGGAGAGCATACCGCGGCCCTCACTTTGGAACTCTTTCATATATATAGGTGTTTGGGCCATTACAATTAGGAAGTATAACGAAGACTCCCTCTTCTGAACCAACAATGTAATCACATATACAACTACTTTCCCGATTACAAATTCTTTGTGGATTTTCTCAACACGAATCCATCACATTGTTCTAAGTGTTCCTTCCAAACTCTTATATTACCTTAAATTATGAATACGCTCGACGAGATCGAGATCAGTCTCGTATCCACTCAATCAAAATAAAAATAATCTCTAAATGAATAATTCGCGAACGACACTTCATGCCGTTTTTCAAAACAAAATAGAAAGATAATTGTCGAAGTTGTTTTTCCCAATCGTGCGTGGAACCATTATTTATTCTCCTCATTATGGTAAGTCCATCTTGCCTTCTTCCTTCCATACTTAGCCGCGTCCACATTCTCGCACTCGTGGCCGATGGTCACTTTTTCAAGTCATCTCTGCGTGGTAAGTTATTCATCCATCTCTCTGCGTGGTCACTTTTTCGCGCCTTGTGACTTCTTTGTATGGTAAGTGTGATCCTTCTTTTTTATCAAGTGCGACTGCTACATAAGGTAAGAAGATATCTTGAAGATTTTTTCTCCATTACCTTCAAATAAAATAAACTAATTAAACGACTTAAAAAAATTAAATCAAGAGAATAAAATCAATTAATATAATAAAAATTTTCTTTTATCTTTTAGTATGGTTCCAAAACTCGGTGTAGATTCCAAGTTTCAGTTTGGAATTATTTGATTTAATGTCAAACTTCACAAATACTAACATTTATGTTAAAAAAAATAATAAAATAAAAGTTTTTATTTTAAAACTTCAAATATTTTTTTGAAAAATACATTATCTTTCTTATTTAGATGGAACAAGTCGCCCAATGACTCGATCCGATTATTTTATAATCTTTCCAATTAGTACCACATGAACTGATTGATAGACAAATTTATAATCTTCAATTAAACCAGATATATAATTTAATTTTCTACTATAAAAATATACAATTATTTTCATTTTAAAAATATTCAAAAATCATCAGAAAATAATTAATTTGATATATGATAACAAAAAAATTGGTCACAAATATTAAAATTATTAATTTTAAAACAGATTTATAATTTGAATTTAAAAAAATATATATATTTATAATTTTAAAGTTCCGCATGGATAAAAGTCGATGTTCACATGGAACCCAAAAAAATAATATAATAATAATAAAAAAAATAAAAAAAATGACATGATTATGAGAAGCCCAATAACATTAATTATAGAAGTTGACGCCTTGGTGTGGAAAACTCTACATTATGCATAAACATGGATGAGTAGACTGACAAAAGTGAATCACTAGTCCATTTAAAAAAAAAATAAAAATAAAATTCATGATCTTTTCTAGCAGTGGAAAACGAAAGAGAAGAATCTTTCTTCCAGGGAAAAAAAAAAAAATAGCAGTCAGTGTCAAAGAATATGTGTTGTTTTTGCCTTTTCTGTTGTGTGTGTTTGTGAGGGCCATGGTCTCTCTCTCTTTGTGCACTATCAATGGCGTTTGAGAACTCGAAACATTTCGACTTTATTCCCTGCAGAAAGGTCAATTGGGACAGTCATGAGAATAGTGGAAAAAAGAAAGTGTCGAAACATAAAGATATCGTGTTCGGCCTGAGATCAACGATCAATGGGTGGAAGAAAACCAACATAAACATGGACAAATTATCCAAGTATTCAAGCTTGCCTACACTACTAACAAGTGTTTCTATCAACTATTTTGGAGCTCAATTGTAGCAAGGCTCAAGCTTTGGTATTCATGTTCGGAATCTTAGTTTGTTAATAATGTTGTAATAGGGACATGTATACTTGGCAAAGGGTATTCTTCAACAACAAATATACCTCCATATTCCGACTTCTGGGTTGTATAAAAAAGAAGAAGAAAAAAAAATCCGAAATAGACAAAGTATTAGCAGAAGCATTTTCTTCTCTTGTTTCATTTGGAAACCGAACTTCAAGTTTCGTGTTTTGAAGCAGCTGCATTTTTAGATCCAAGTGCAAACAAGAGTGTCTTCAACATGAACACATAAATGAAAAGACGAGTAGCTTCAGTATTATGTCACCACAACAACAACAACAACAACAACAACATACCCAGTATATTCCCAGTATATTCCCAACTGGTTGGGGTCTGGGGGTCAGTTGTACGCAGACCTTACCATTGTAATTATACAAGGAGGTTGTTTCCGTAGCGACCCAAGGTGCATTGCGTCGTTTGATATATTTTTTTTTTTAGAAACTTAGAAGAAGCACTAGAGTCATTTTGATCTAGTCCATTATTAGCACTATGCCAGGAGAATTGTCAACAATGACTCTTCCAGCTCCATTCAGTATTATGTCAATTCTATGAAAATAGTCGCATCATACTCGGTTAATGTGGAAAGGTAGTTACAAAACACAGACAGCACACAACACCTTAGGAATGCCATTGCTACACCAAAAAAATAAAATAAAAAAAAAAAAGGAAAATAAGAAAGGATGTATTACCCTGAAAATTTTGTATATCATTAGTTTCTTCGTCTATTCTTGCGGCGGGGAAAGATTAAGAAAGCCACGAGAACAATAACGAGTGCCAGCTGGAGGAAGACCAAAAACTTCAAACCTGGAAGCAACTCAATAGTTATTCTTACAAAGGTCCAAACCATTTTTCTTGCCATAATTTCTAATGAAGACACGAGATAAATACAAAAAGAACTACCACTTGGTTTATGTGTTGCATCCATCGTCTCTATCCCGTGCTTATTTTTTCTTGAATTAAGAGAATCCGGTTTCTTTGGTATCGAGTCGTAAATTTTTCTCTGATATATAATATTTCCACCACTGATACAAGTGTTTGGACATATTACGGTTCCATCATATTCATCACTCCCATCACAGCAATCTGAATAAAAAGGGGTTACCAGAAAAATCAGATATGTCAATTATATAATCTGCTAGAGAAGTAAATTTGATATAACATCACTGTCATCAAATTAGCATGAGTCGAACAATCTATGCTTCAGAAAAAGGGGTAGGAAAATGACAACCATTAAAGTAATTAGAAATTTTACAAATAGGCAAATTATGGATTCACGGGAGGTAATTAAAACATTCAGTCACAAAACAATATCTTTATAAAAAAAAATGCAGGATCATCAGTAATGCACCCAGATCTATTCTGATCTGAAAGCAGAAAAAAAAAATTCACAGGTCAAGTCGAGATTTATAGTCGGAGCACAAAGACCATCCAGTGGAATGACGAACTGGAACAATAATAAATAATTAGCTTATCATTCTTGTTGATAAAATATGTAGTCTGCTTACAAAATCGTTTTCAGGCAAGAGTCAGAAATAGCATATACATGTTTTGATTACAATTCAAACATACTCAAGTCGACGGAAACTACACTAAGATTGTGCCAATTGAAATAATGTTTCAACGCTCATAATTGTGCCAAATCAATTTATATTTCAATATTCATACTCACCACAAATTTTATCATTCACCCGAGAAGAAAACAAGTATCTTGGTGTACTTCCCATATTTCTGCAGTAGAATCTGCCTGTGGGACACGCGGAAGTTCCTATCACAACCAAAATTATTAAATTAAGAATTACATCTTTTGACAAAAAAAAAAAGCAAGGTGTGGAACACCACAAAGTGAAAGTGTACCTAAAAAGAAATCAAATGTAAACATCGTTTAATCAGATCGGTTTTCAAATAAAACATGGTATGTACTAGAGTAACCGGAGATAAAAGAAAGGAAATGCATGTGCAAAACTGCTAGTAAGAGTTACAGTCATCCTCTGGAGTTTCATAAAGCATCACCTGCCTCTTAGCTTTTAAAGGATTCTGCAAAAGGAATATAGTATTATATAGTCGGCTGGCATTTCCATTGTGCCATTCTTTGACATTTTGGAGTTTTAAAACTATGGTTTTCAGCTGGCAAAAGTGAAGGACATCATTTTCATTTACTTATTTCTTCATTAGGTTTGTGTGGCTCAGCAAGCGTATTTATCAACTAGCAGCACTATTACACATGTTACAACATAATAGATATAAACCAGAGCCTACAACTGAAATGCAGGAAGCCCATCTAAACTAGATAGATGCCATGCCTGCTTGCGAAAATAAGAATTATGCATTTCACAAACTACTATATCATTTAACGGGTTGCACACGGGTTCCTTTTTTGCAGATTGAAGAAAATAAGAGGTAAATCCAATTTAACGATTTGGCTGATTCGTTTTCCCCCAGATATAGAATCATAGCAAAGCGAACTTCCCCTTTTCATGACGAATAGGAAGGTTCATGAAAAAACAAAGAATACGGTAAACAATAAACAATAGTTACTAGATACACACTGCAAAGAAGTTCTACATTACTAAATTTTGCTCCCAATTAAACTTACAGTTCATAAGTGAGCATATCTAATGTTCACAGTTCGTATACACAAAAAATTCAAACATCCCATGCAATCGAGCAATCCCATGGTAATTCAAGATAAACTGCCTAATCAATTAGATTCATCAAATTACAAAAATCCACCAATTTCAAGTATCATACAATCATACTTCATACAGACTAAAAATTCAAACATCCCATACCATAGAACAAAGCCATGGTAATCCAAGCTACAATACCTAATCAATTGGATCCCTCAAAGTACATTACATCACCAAATTCAACTACCACACACACACTGAAGCTCCGCTAGAGCACCAAACCCAGCATTCAAGAAGAACTAATAGATCGCACGGAAAGAAAACAAATAAGGCAAATTCCCCATCACTTTTTTCATCTTTTCAAATTCTCAATCAATGTCAAGGTAGAGCCATTGGCGAATGAGTGGAAAATGATTACCCGGCTCATCGGTGCCATCCGTGCAGTCACAGAAATCGTCGTTGAGGCGGTCTCTGGCGAACCATTTCGAACCATCTCGGCACTCGATCATCTCCGCTTCGTAGTACTTCTCATCTGCAATCGCCACACACGCGTGCCCCAATTCAATTTTTCGTGTGAGTATATGTGTGAGTGAGAGAGAGAGAGAGAGAGAGAGAGAGAGAGAGAGAGAGAGAGAGAGATTGACCTAGAGGGTGGACACCGATGAGCACGCGGGAAGGAGAGGAGTACGAGAGGTTGAAATGGAGAGAAATGAAGAGAAAAAAGACGAAATTGAGCGCCATTTAGTCTCCTCCGACTATGTTCAGCTGGTGGTATCCATGGCGGACGACTGAAATTACGAAAAGGTTCTTTGAATTCAAAATCTACACTCTACAGAGCCGACGGTACAAACTTTCTACTGTTACAGCGGCCATTGGCGGACTTTAAGCGTAGAACTCGGAAGCCTGAACTGTGAACAGTTGGAAATTATAATCGAAAGTTTGTTGTATTCAATTGCAACTTTTAAAGACTTTTTAACACTTTTAGAATTCTGGTGTATTCAATTAGAACTTTTAAAAACTTCTAAAAAGTTTACATGTATTCAATTGAGACTTTTAATGACTTTTAATAAGTCTCTAAAAGTCTCAGGGTATTCAATTAAAACATTTTGAGAGTCTTTATAAATCAGCCGATATTCAAAACAGAAAGACTTTGTGAGACTTTTTAAATTTTGAGACTTTTGGAGACTTTTGCAACAAAATTACAAAGGAAAAGTCTCAACAGAAATCTCATCAATATTGGTGAGATTTTGCTGGACTTATGTGACTTTTTTCACTCTCTTTTTTTTCTTCTTTCTAACACGACTTTGTATCCCATATCATTTTCATGCTCTATTATTTTACTTATTTATTTTGATACCTTGTGTAAGTTTTATTTTCATTACATATTATTGTGATCTTTTTATTTTATATATTCTTTATTATGCTTATTTTATGTGTGTATACCTTATTTTCTCATTTTGCTATCTTGTGAATTTGACTTTTCAAAGGTTAATGCTTCCATAGTTACACTTGCAAATAATTTATCTGTTCTTTCTTTTTATTTGTAAATGTTTATTTCAAAATATTAAAAAATATTGTATTTTCAAATAGTTTATTTGTTAATATTGAAATGTTTTGAATATTATTGATAATTTTATAAGATACAATTACTGTTTTTCGGCATGTTTGTATCTTGTAAAAATATAACTTAATAATATTTTTCTAATATAACAACATTATGCAAAAAATATAAAAAATAAAATCAATAAATAATTAAATAAATATATCTTAATTTGAGTTCATTATAAGTGTCGTTATAGTAGAGATGTCTAACACATATTTGACCTTGTACTCTTTTAACAAACAAATATAAGGCCCTGCTCGATTCGACTCGTTGAAGCTCGGATCGATTTACTCGTTTAATAAATCTAAAATCCTAAAAAATTTGTTCGTGAATAACTCATTTCGCATAAAAATGAGTTTATTCATAAATTTTTAGAGGATTAATATATACAACATCTTTTTGTTTTTTTATTTATTCTTGTTTATATTAGTTATTATGTTACGTTTATTAATATTTAATTCAAACATAATATTATAACTGCAAGTATATAAAAGTCTCAATAAGTTTTAAAAAGTCTATTATGAAAGTCTTAAAAAGTCACTGATGAAAATTCTCTGAAAGTCTCAAAAAGTCCACGAAAGTCATGAAAGTTTTACAAAGTCCACAAAAGTCATCAAATTTAAAAAGTTTTAAAAAGTCCTTAAAAATCTCAATTGAATACACCCTCCTTAGTCCCCATTGTTATTTTGTCATTATCAACTACTAGTGTTGATACCCGTAGTGCAATACACAAAATTATTTTTTATGTAAAAATTATAAAATTATTAAACAATATGAAATTATATTCTCCGCAATATTCTATTCAACAATAATATGACATTTAATTATTCACTATTATTATTAATTTCTATTTTTATATTTTTTTGTAGTTGTTGACTATTTAATATATAAATTTTATAATTTATAAGTTTATAAAACATTATAAATGTATAAGATCATATGATATTTGCATACAAATTACTTGTATGTACTTACAAAATTGTCGTTCATCATAGACTTATAATTTTTTTTAACAATTAATAATTTGCACATTGCTTGATAATTGACCAATGTTTAACTCGTAATATTTATCGTCCGCTATAATTATTAAGTGCAATAAATGTTAAAAACTTTGATAAATAAATTTTAACTTTTAGTAACTTTAATCCTTATAGAACTAGGGGTGGTATCGGTTCGGTAACCGAACC